TTATTTATACGCAAAAAACGCGACAGGGTGGTAACATATGCCCTCCCCCCTCCCACTGGGGCGTAGGAATAGTCAACATTTTACCTTTGGTGACCTCTGGTGACCTGACCTTTGACCTGACCCAAAAAATGACCGAATTGTGTTCGTCCTTATTTTGGACGTTCTTTCGATTGCCGCTTACCGCGTGTCGCTACGTGGCCCAGGAGCCGAGTTAGAAGGATATTCAGACACCCTCCCCCCGGCCCGGCGCGGAATCTCAGAGCACCGGCCCGGCGCGGAATTTCAAATTCATTTATGTGGTCATGTAGAGAATAGACGGTGCTACAAAAATGCTATCTCGGATTTTCAAAAGTTTGGGATTTTTACTCCCAAAATTGAGAAAATTGATTTTTTTAGAAACGCAAAAGAAATCCCAAAGGTGTTCTTAATTTCGCAAAAACAGAATATACATTTGATATTCACTGCACTCTTCTATCCGCATACCACATTTTACATCGATACCTTCTTTTTTGGCCAAGTTATAGCAAAAGAAGAACTGAGTCCTCTTGCACCAAACTACCTAGCTAGCAGGCGCGTAACCACGAGTCTGAAGTTACTGTGGACCACATGGAAGGCCGCGAAGACCAAATATAATATTTCAGGATCAGCCTTCGCCCGAGTGTGTTGGGGGAGATGGTGGGGGGCGTTTTTGGCCACACCTGCCATTTTTTTTTGTTGCGCGTGTAAGCACAACCGCGGCGCGCACCGACACAGGTAAACATGACACACTGAACCGGAAAATTGCACCTGTGACCCCTTCTATGCCTCTGATATCATCTCAGGTCATGAAACATCCCAACAGTTTTTTACCATTACTTTAGGTAGAAACATGTTAGAGCGCAAACACCATGGAATTGTGTTCAACTCAAGTCTCAACAATACCAATCGCATGACATGCAACATGACCTTTTCCTTCCATGCGTCTCGACGAGACCAACGCGATGCCGGTAAAATCAGCGCCATGCTATTTTTGAGTCAAAAGTTATGATACAAAAACCTTTCCCGCAAAACGCCAACCTGGAAGCTAAACCATTGACCTTAGGTCAAAACTGAGAACATTGCTCAGAAAGGTCTTTGAAAAAGCTATCGAATGCGCTTTCCCTCAGCACTGCAGCTCTATTGGTTCCTGACGTATGCGCCAATTTGTGAAAAGTTGTCAAAATTGGGAATAAAAGTTTGTGAAAATTTTACCTTTGGTGACCTCCAGTGACCTGAGCGATGACTTGATCAAAAATGACATAGGTAATTCTGAAAGATACTGTAGCGAGCTATCTGCTGCTTCTTACCGCGTCTTTCTAGCTTGCTTAGGTAATCTGGTGTGGCCAAAAAGCCCCCTCCCCCACCATGGCTAAGTTGGTTGAGAGGCCCACCCGGGCGCTGGCTAAACAAAACATCCAGTTTTGTTTTCCGTTGACTACATATTACTCTTCACGTCGATTTAGAGACAATATTTGGCTATTCAAGCAAATTGAGGTCGTCGGTTTTACTGGGGACGGTCCCCAGTAACCCAAAAGTTACTGGGGACCGGTCCCCAGTGTCCCCAGTGGTGGTTACGCGCCTGCTAGCTAGGTAAAATCGAAAAACCGGTTTCAGAATAAGCTAATCTAAAGGTGGTAAATTTGTTTGCAATAGCCCAATACATAACCCTACATGTGCTTGCTAAATTTTGCACGCAAATTGTTACATTTGAGACTTGGACTGGGTATACGATGCAAAATAATCCAAGCATTGGTGCAAGAGGATTTTGGTGCAAGAGGCCTCTGTTCAAATTTGATGACATCAAATTTTTTAATTAACACGCGCAGTGGAAGGGATTTCGCCCACCCCTCCTGTTTTTCGCCAATAACTCGCGCCGCAAGCACAATATCGATGTGAAATTTCGGCTACCCGTCCAAAATTGAATTGCGGATCTCCTCGTGCAAAAAGTAAGAAAATCGGTTCACAACTTTTCTAGTAATAGCGGTGTAAAGTTAAACATCCTGCCGCCGCCGCGGCGCGGCGCGGCGGCGGCCGGCGCTAGCCGTTACGCGCCGCCTGAATTGTAGACTGTGCCGGGGCAGGACGGTTCCGTCTTTACATCGCGCTCCTTACCGCTGATTACATTAGATTCGCGTCAAATTCGGTGAGAAGACTGAGAAATGTACAGGTAATCATATGGTCAAAGAATTTTGAAAATCGACCGGTAACAACTTGAGTTATGAGTGTGTAAACACAAAATTGTGATTGCCGCGTTTCCCGCGTCGGCCGATGCCGCTACAGCCGGCGACATCTTACCCTTAATAGGCTTCTAACTGCCATATTTATTGTTAGATTATCTAGAAATTCACCATACATACTCACAAATGTTTGCTCTTTCGTATAGTGAAAGATTTGAAAAATCGGCCGGTAACTTTTTGAGTTATCGGCGTGTAAACGCAAAATAGTCGCTAATATGGCAGATTTGACCACATTTGACCTCATTTGACCTTGAAGATATTGACCTAGGGTCATTACATTCACACGCAACAGAGGTCCCCATGGCCTTCACCCACCCTCCAAATTTCGTTTTTCTAGCTCCAGTGGGAGCTGAGATCTTAGGGGGGAGGGCGACATCCGCCCCCCCCCCTTCCACTGGGCGTAGTACTCGCAACCCTTCCACTGCGCGTGTTAACTCAATTTTTTAGCAATTGTAGACCATGTAGCGCAAAACAAAGACCGCCATTAGACTCCCCGTGACGAGCTGCATCGAATCGATACCCATTTTATGCAAAAATGTGAGGTTTGAACTTATGCCTAATTTGACCTGACCTTGACCTGACCTTCACCAGAACATAACCTAAACTGGCCCCATGATTGACCCACATAATTGCATTTGGCATGTGAAAATGGACCATAAAACATGCATCACATGATATTTTCATATTGTGACCCTCAGCGACCTGATCTCTGTGATCTGAACTGGTATCAGTGACCTCAAATAGCAAAACATGTGTTTGACGAACAATTCCCCATCGACAATTTTCAATGAAATATTATAAGTCAACGGGGAAAATGAAAACCGCACGGGTTCAAGTCACTCCGGCGCTCGACATTTGAGACTCCTGACGGGGATGGTCTGCAGTTGCTGGGAGCAGCCGCAGCCAGTTGAAGGCAGTTGAACGGGACAGGTCGTGTCCGGCTTTGAAGGGCACGTTGAACTTTGGTATCTCAAAATGCTTCCGTTACCCAGAATTGCGCGATCGAACGGTAGGGGGTCGGGGTCAACCAAAGAAGCTCTGCTTAGCGTATAGGCTCCGGCTCTGTCAATCCGTCCATTTAAACCATCCCGGGGCTCGTCTCGTTTGTTTCGCTCACCGAGGCATTACGTCTTTCCAGGGTTCCCTTAGCTGACTCCTGAGTGTCCCAGGGGCGCTAGGGCCACCACTGAAGGCATGGGCGTAGGAACGGCTGGAACATTGTGGGTGCATGGGTGCAGAAATCCAGCCATGGCCGGTGAAGCGGGGGGGGGCGACACCCGAGCGAAGGCTCGTTACGAGCTTTGAGGGTGTACCATGTCGAAAAGGTACCAACCGATAAGTGCATTTGGAAGCATTGACCCTCGCATGTGTAGGGGAGTTGGATGAACCCCCCCATGGTTGTTCGCAAATAACTCGCGCAAAAAGCGGCCGATTGCGACGAAACTTTTAGTACCCTCGAGTTGATCAGTTTTACACCTACTCTAAAAATTTCACGACCCTGACCCAAAAGACCTTTGACCTGTGACCTGATTCTCGACTATGTTCGGCCGGAATCGCGATTTGGCGTATGTCAGCTCACATTATCCGCGCGTTTCCAGTCTTTTGTGATTGTAGACGTCCAAACATGTGAAATGGTGTTCTTCCCATGCATCACGGTGGGTGTGAAGATAACCTGAAGGTCAGGTTAGGTCATTGACCTTTGATGACCTCGGTTCACTTTTTCGAGTTTTACATGTTTCTAGGGTAGTTTATAGGGCTGATTTCGAATTTAGCATCCATTTGAACGTTTACGAAGTAGTTTTAGTGCTGCTTTCGTGACATGCTACGACGCCGTCAGTGGTAGTTGACACCTACTATGGATAGCCGGTAGGACGCCTAGTGGTTGACCTGACCTGACCTGACCCGATCTGGCCTAAATGCATGAAGAAATCATCTGTGATCAAAGCTAACATCAGATATTCGTGATCAGCACCTCGAAAAACCCGGTAACAGCTTCACTTTACGCAGTTCTAGCAGGTCCCGATTTTCCCGACTTTTGGAATATTGACCTGACCTGGAAGGTCAACCAATGAAGTAGGACCTTAAAATTGGGTATTATCGGCTTCCTCTCGTCACGGGCAACACCCTCGTTTTTTCCGCGAAGCTCTAGCTCGATCAGGGGCCGAACGGCAGGGGGTCCGACCGACCCCCCTCCCCCTCCCCCTACACATTAGAAGCTGGAAAACGCTGCACACATTCGAGGGCTAATATTGTCAATATTGACTACCGCAAAAAAGTAAAAGCGGCCAACTTAGCCATTTTCGAAGATTTAGATACCTATCGGGCTAAAATTTTTGATGCAGTGGGTCATCGGTTCGTTCAATCACATGCTCCATTTCCCTTTTTTCAGCACAAATGTAAGTTTTGAAGACCATCACTCATCACAGTAGCAAATGCTTCGAAAGATGGATAGTAGGCAACATATCCTGAATTTGCCGTGCTGCATGGGAAGTAATGTTGACTGTTGATGAAAAAGGGGTTTTTGGTTCAGATTATTGTGGGTGCAGAATACATTGTCTGCACCCACTGGATAAATATTGTGGGTGCAGCTGCACCCTTGCACCCATGGTTCCTACGCTTATGACTGAAGGTCCACATGACGGTCTCTGTGAGCCTCACGTTATTGTTAAGTGTCCTTCCGCCTTCTGCAAAAATAAGGCGTTCATAACTTAATTGCGTTAGTGATAAATAATCAGACTAAACATATTTTACGAGCGATGAACTAGTATATTTTATGACATTATCCTGCAACATGACACATCAGCGCCTTGGGTCCTTACGTGAGGAATATAATACATACTGTGAACCGTCAGCTCACAAATGATGCAGGCAACGAGACAGCCAGTGGCAGCCGCACAGTGACGTCACTTTTCGGGCTGCCATATCTTCTTGTTCATCGAGCAGCTGCCAGGGCAACACTCAAAACGGCCATGCATGCACGCTGTACCACTACAAGTACAAGTATAAGCACAGGTACCAGTAACATACCACAAGTACCCTGTACCAGCACAAGTGATACGTAAGCTGCAATTTGAACGTTCTCTGAGGTGAAATGCAGACACAAAGAATCGCAATTATGATACCCAATTAAATTTTCATTTTAAATGCATAAAATCGCAATGGCACCAGGGCAAATCAGTCACTACACTATTGGCACTATTTGCTAACTTAATTAAGGGCGACATTGTCGTATTCTTATCAAAACATACCTACTTATTGACATTCCGAGCTTGAACGTCGGCACACTCATTCTTGGGAACACTCGCAATGCCACTGAAGATCACACACGCGGTTACACCGAGTCAAACGTAATAGCACACGTAGTCGATGAAACGAAATGTTCAGCAAAGCACAAACAGTTTCATACATACCGAAACTGAACCAAATGTAATAATGGGACGAACACAAGTCAGATTAGTAAATGAGGGCAAAACACTGAGCGCTAGATGCATGTGTAAGAGATTCGTAATTATGATGAAGTTAACTAACAGTACAAAACCGTGAAAAGCAGCTGTAAGAAAGGCGAATAAATATAAAGTCGATCTACCATTGAATGAATATGACGTAATAAATACAAGATACCGTATCAAAAAATTCGGTAGAACGGTCATCGGTGTGCACTCGATACTCGTTTTCGGTCCATATCTCGAGCGCGTTCAACAACATTCAACGCATTAGCGTCAGATTAGAGTTATGTTTCACATGCTAAACGCATGCTATATGCTCCTCGCCAGTTTCGAAGCAGCAGGCGCCGAGGTGCGTGCAACAAACGCATGACTAGAGTTCTTCGTGGGCTGGGCTTCTACGTTGATCGTTCATTTCGATGTTTGTGATGCGGGACTCGGGTGCTAAGCAGTTCATCTTGTTTGCTGCTTTACTCACGAGAATGTTTGAGAAGACGCACCCAAGCTCTCCGTTTAGCATAGCATCAGACACCGAGAGCTTATACAGCGCTGACAGCGCCACCTGTCCAGTTTAGCGCCCGCTCGCAGCGCCACCTATCGCCGTGGACAGGTACACTCGCACTTGCTGACAACTGGATACCTGACGCGAAGCCATTTACAGTGTTTCACTCGCCTCCAATCCTGACAGTGCCAACGCAGCAGCGTTAGATGGCGACTGCGTGCAGGCTGGCAAGTCATCCCAGCCGGAATCGAGCACGAGCGCTTCGTGTCGCATTCTCCGGTGCGAAGCCAGCGGGGCCAGAAGCGCAGCCCGAGGTCCTTCCACCGGTGGCGAACGGCGCAGTGTGTGTACGCGTGGAGATATTTGAGCATCTTGCGCCGGAGTCGATGTGAGAGGCGGAGTTTCTGCCGGCTGCCGTCCGGGAGAGTGAGCACGTCCAGTCGAAGACGGCGCAGGTTGGCTGGGATGCGGCCGACGGTACGTATGTGACCGTTTTTCCGCACCTGTGGGATACAAGTTGAGGTCAAACGTGAGAAGAGTTTGGAACCGAAAACGAGCCAGTAAGTCAGTGTGATGAAGGTTGACAGCCATTCCACAAGATTGCGTTTAACATTGAAGTAAGAGTTGCACCACAAATGGACAGGAAGCGGGATGCTTGGTGAGAGTTAAGCATGATATCAACAGTCGAAAGAGTCCCTGCAACCCTGACATCTGACGGCTGTCTTCCGAGACCCAAAGCTGTATGACAATGCAAAAACTACTTCGTCCGGACACCTGAAATCATTAGTATTATTAACTTTATCACCTTTATGTTTCCCCCATCTCTACCGTTTCGTCTCACTAACACCATCCTCCCTCCCTTTCTCCCTTTCTCGTCTTTCTCCCTCCCTCCGTTCCTCACCTTGAAGGGCAGATGCCACGATGTGACGTTGTCTCCTCTCCTCAGACTTCGTGGCTTGTCGATACTCATATATTCCGTGTCCATAAACCTCCCCAGTTTCATCGTGAGTCGACCAATGTCCAGGTCAGATGGTGACGGGTCGTACCTGTAAACAGGTCAGGTCAGGTCAGATCAGGTCAGGACAGGCTAAGTGAGGTCGGGTGAGGACAGGTCAGCTATGAGTTTTAGGTCACACACAATGTCTTGAGCCATACGCCAGAGGTCTCCCCGCCAGCCCAATCAATCCGTGTCAAAGGAGTAAGTCGTCGAACGGATCCCAGTTACTGTCAGGCTAGTGATAGTCATTCAGATCCCCTTTTTATTTATGCTGGTTTATCGGCGACTAGGCTAGAAAAGTGGGCATGATACATTTTAATTTTTATTATTATTATATCCACAAAGATGTGAAGTTATGGAAGAAGTTAAGATCAGCATCTCAATGCCAATTAGGTAAAGATATACGTACCGTGAACTCTTGCTCTCCTTGAGGTCGAGAACTGAGAAGGCCTGTAGGTCAGGCTTTGGCCTGTACTGCTGTCCCGTGAGGCCTGTCAGAGGCCAGCAGGCCACCAGTAAAGCTAGCAGCTGCCGGGTTATTGACGACATCTGGGGACAGCGGAGGGTGATGGTTAGATGTGTTGTTATTTGTTATCAGGCATTGGTGTGATTGTTGAGAGAGAGAGAGAGAGAGAGAGAGAGAGAGAGAGAGAGAGAGAGAGAGAGAGAGAGAGAGAGAGAGAGAGAGAGAGAGAGAGAGAGAGAGAGAGAGAGAGAGAGAGAGAGAGAGAGAGAGAGAGAGAGAGAGAGAGAGAGAGAGAAAGAGAAAGAGAAAAAAATCACAAGCGTAAGAAGTGGAGTGCAAATCACATAATCGATTATGACCCCTCTTTGCTCGAATAACATTTTCGCATTACCGGGTGTTTTGATAAAATACACCGCTGTAAGCGTTCGTTTTATAAGATATTTAGTACAAATAGATGAATGGATGGCTTTGGCGGGTCCGGACGTCACGCTACCTTGTGTACCGAATGACACCATGGACACACCACCCAACCCTACCACGCCCGGTTCACTGGTGATAGTTTTAACAAAAAATTGAGCGTATCACGCATTAGCCGATGGTTTATGAAGTGAAATAAAAATATAATTGCTAAGGTTGCTATGTCATGTCATGTAATATTTTACACAGAAATTCCGTCATCTAGCTATAACGAAGCGCATCGACTTCTCTCGTCGCTCTGAAAACTTTTCTTCCAACGAACACGGAAAACATTGACAGCGATCGACAGTGAGGTCATTGAAGGCATCGCAGCGGCTTGTTTTAAATCACCGATGCGCTCTTCGCGATGTCAAATTAACATACTTTGCACAGTTTCGGCTTCTGCACGTTGTAAGTTCGTCAGGAATGCAGACTGAAGCGACACTGGAATGCAAAGCGTTCCAAGCACGCAGCCTGAGAAATTCCGAGTCTCAGAATGCGGTGTTCGTGTCGTGCATACATGTGACACGATATTTTATCATTAAATCCACGGAGAAGTACTAATATGACGTTCATGTGGTATGGTCGAATTTAAAAAGATTGAAATACGTCACGCAACCGCTCTTTTTTGCTCTTCTGGTACGTAAATGCTTTATCAAAATCCTGCACAAATTCTGGGAACGGTTCAAGAGCGGTATGCGTCTCGTTTGGCCGCATCGATTGGAACCCTCTCGAATAGATCGCGATCATTCAGCTATCTCATTTTTTATGTCAATATCATGCATCCATAAAACCCATAGCGTGTTCTCGTAAATTACGACAATGACGTAAAAGGTTCGATGCCTGAAAACTGTACATATATGTGTTTCTGGTCATACAACCAATTTAATTAGTAGCTGACTGCAGAGCGAACAGTTATCGCAACGATCGCAACAGTCAATTACTATTTTTCCCTCTTAGTCCTCATGCATTCTACGAACACATCATCCGCAGCGTCCAAGCCCTCCTTTCGCCAGCCCATCACCACCAATCTGATCCTTCCTCACTGACAGCTCTTCTCTTTCACTGCGCCCCACCCTCGCACTCAACACTAACCCAACCCTTGACGACGGCCAACGCGGCGTCATTGAGACGTGAGCCAGCGCGGCGCGGCGCGCTGCGACGCTCCCGGCGCGGTAGCTGCCCTTTTCGGCGAATGTGGCGCACCCAGTGTCAAAACGTAATGGAGCAGTGCGAATACTGATGCGCCGGATATGGTGGTTGGATCAGTGAGAGGGTCGCGTGGCGGGGGAGGGGGTCGGGAGGGGGGATAGCGGGGAGCGCCGGATGGGAGGGGAACTGGGGAGCGGCTGCTGGGAGGTGAATTTGGGAGGAGTGGGGAGCTTGGTAAGTTGGGGAGGAATAGGAAGCGTTTGCTGGACTTTGGACTGGGGAGCAGTTAAACTACATAGTCAGTAGCCTGCCTGCGAGGCGTTGAACTGCGGAAAGCAGTAGAGCTGCAAATGTTCTGTGGTATTTTCTTTTTATTAGTTTTATAGCGGTAAATTAGGCATAAAGAATACAGGATAAAGGAGCAGAGTCACAGAGGTTTTGCTTTGCCAGAACATCCGTAAAATGTAACATGATGTACAATTTACTCAAAGCCTTATGCTTTGCTGTGTCATTGTGCTTCACCTTGGTTTTACGATTAGCAATGATCTTTTCTTTACTGCCTGCTGGACCTGCAACGCAACGCAATAATAAACCAAATCAACACCATACTTTGTTGAGGAGTAACACCATTTCCGAGGATCAAATAGTCTAGCTCGTCAGCTCTAGTGCAGCATACACTCAGATACACGCCTCCTGGAACTGCGTCTGTGTTCTGTGGCACTCCGCTCAGCCCGTTGTGCGGCCACTGCGGCGGTGCGCCACAATTGGCTCAAGTGCGCTGAATAGAAGCTGACGGAGTGCGCTGGTTTATGGAACGGCTGGCGGACGGGCCGTGACTGAATGATTTCATGGGCGTGCCTAGAGGTCGGGTGCGGTGGGGGAGCACTGAACAGGAAGGTCGCAAGGGGTGGGGTGTGCTGTGCTTGCATGTGGTACGCACGTAGAAAAGGATAAGTAGGTACTGATGGAAGAAATGTCTGGCAAGTACTGATAGAAATATCTTCTATTTTTATATCGGTCTAAATAATCTTGCTAAATAAGCATTTTTCCTCTACATATTCCAAGCAATATGCATCAAAAATGAAAACGTCATATGACACGAGTGATATCCACTTAGGGCAAAAATAATACATATTCAAACATCACTGTTATTTGATGCAATGTAATCATGCTATACAAGGTGACAAAAACCTTTCAAACAAGTAACGACTTTGAACGG